TTTCCTTAACATATGTCATTGAGAAACACACAAGAGGATTAGAATTGTCTGTGAACCCAGTAATAAGGTTACAAGAAGTAGATATTTTGGTCTTCTCTTCTATATCTATCCAATATTACATTAAATCAAAAACATTTTTTATACATTTTTTACATCTGCAATTATTTAAAAATAATAGAAAAGATAGGTAACGCAGCATTACAATTAATGCAATCCTATAATAACAATTTAATATATGCACCTGCCGATATTTACATATTTATCCAAGTATTGTTTCTGACCTGAGTAAAACACATAATCTTGCCATGTAATATATTTTTGAAAAATGTATCACTGCATACTACAATTACTTGCATAATTAGAATTTGCCATTAAAATATCAAAGTATGTTTCTTAATGGCTTTCCTAGTGCTGAACCACACTAATAAAGTATAAAAAAAAAAATATATAATAATTTAATCAAATAATTAAATATGTTTGGATAAACTTTTCAAATGATTTATCTACAAAAGGTTTCAAAGTGATTTTAATAGTGATTTCTGCAGATAAATAATTAAAAAGTGAATCCAAAAATATTAAATCTTTTGAAAAAGAAAACTAAAATATTAAATCAAGGTCTATGTCATAAAGAGAACAGTATATTATACTGCGTATTATTCACACTACACTAGAACTCAAAATTATTTGCTAAAGCTCATAAAAGTCCATTATACAAAATTGCTTTGAATTTTGGAGTATTCAGCTTTTCAGATTAAAGTTCTGACATACACTAATACTAAGATAAACACACTGAAATGTTAATCTCTTCCATAATTATCCCTTTCGTATGCACTCTACGGTACTTAATACTACAAATCCCCATGTATTTATAGTGTATATCAGAGTTCCATACATTCTATTTTTATTCCCTGCTTTTTTTTTTTGCTAGAATTTCTTGTTTTCATTTTTTTTTTTTTTCAAATGGCACATTTTGAGTTCTCTTTACATATTTCACATTTTGGTTAAAAAAGTGCAGATGGTCTTATGAAATGTATAACTATCAATATTTATAATATGTATCATTTTATATCAGAATGATATGTGACAGCTACTTGCATTTTTGTGCACATATTATCATAACAATTTTTATTCTGTTAAATACAAATATAAAGAATTAATACAGATTTAATAATTACATGTCTTTTGTTAATGGTTGACATTTAATTTAAATACTAAGCTTGATATGAATTTAGAGGTAATAGTTACATGGGACCTTTAACGACGTATGTACCAAAATAGATAACTGTAGCAATCTGTTTCTTAATAATTTTCAACATCGTTATTTTATCATAATTGAAATTGCTTACTGAAATGTTATGAGCAGAAGATGAGAGGGAGACATCCTAACCATTCTAAAAAGGTACCACTCTCTCCCTCAACCATTAATAAGGGCGCAGGAGTGATTGAGTGAGAGCTCTCTGATAATCTCTGCCTATTGCTGCAATTCAACAGAATAAATATGTGCATCTCTATCTTTTACTAGTGATGTGATGCCAGTGATTGGTAGACAGCTTACTTTATCCTATTCAGATAAAGGTGTTATTGTCTTTGGATTCCTTTAATTATATTTTCACCATTTCAATCATGTGACCAACCACATAAGTTATTATTTGCTTCTTTTATGTATACTTCTCATAATCAACAAGTTAAAGATATACTTTTTATTAAAGATTTTGAATAAGATGACCTTAACCAAAAAAAAAATCTGTCTTTCTTTAATTAAAGGATTACTCTAACCCTTTTTAAATAAGCTTTTCTTTTTTTTTAAATCTAAAATGCCATATTGGGCATTTCTTTGCGCTTAAAACACAGTAAAATAGTCAATAAACTTACCTTAGGGACAGAGTTGAGCGAAATTTCCCACGTAGGATTCCATGTTCTGTTCTGATGTCACCACTGCCCTCGCGAGGACCAAAGAAAAGCTTTTGATTGGACTGTTTTCACAAACGGATGCTTTGAGCTCAAGAGGGAAAGGGAGAAAGAGAGTAGGGGTAAAAAGGGGAGGAAGGGAGAGTGATGGTGTTAGGAAAAAACACAGAGAATATTGAGAGGTGTGGATGGCAGGGAGGGGTCAAGTGAGAGAGGGACAGAGGCAGAGAGGGGAGATAGAAACTAACTACATCTGTTGTCAGCTAACCACGTCTGTTGCTAGTAATCTGTGTGCACTAATGACAGACAGATTTTATGCACAGATTTAACAATAGAATGCTCATAACAGTTCTAGGCTGTCCAAGTCATATGTTCCAGGTGCGTGTCAGGGTACACCGAATTGCCAAATTTTGGAAGTGCCAAAGTGCTTTGGATTTCTGAAAAGTGGCAAAACAAGAGAGGGAGGGAAAATTACGTGAATAATGACAGAAATCTAACCCTAACCCTACTCCTACCCCCAACCTCAACACCTAACCCTAGAGGGGTTGGGATTTGGGGTAGGGGTGGGGGGTTAAGGAATTGCCGAAATCCCGAATTGCCAAAGTCCCGAATTTCGGAAGCGGCGAACCAAATTATTTTGTCAGGCTAGGACTCAGCCTACTGATCTCCTCCTGAAGCAGAGGGACTGTTCTCAGTCTCAATCCTCTCTCACTAGTGGTTCTAACACCAGCCGCTGTGGCTCCGTCCTTTATGTCGTGGTGCGCTTGCTGTCGCCCGCTGAAAAGTCCAAATTCGAATGTTTTGGGAGCATAGCTATCTAGTTAAAGAGCAACACTATAAAAAGGGCTCATAAGCGTTGAATCATTGCCCTGTTGTGGTTCAAACTTGTTTCCTATAGTGCGTTGTCTAGTTTGTTGTATTTAGTATTTTGACTTCCTTTGACTCTGTTAGTACTAGGGATGTGCATGGGCAAAAAATTTGGTTCGGTTTGGAAATGCGGGTAAAAATTTTTTTAAAAATTGTCTGCTCTAGCAATTTGGACCAATGGCGTTCGGGTTCGGCAATTCGGACCCCAACCTGTACCCCTAAACACAACCTACATTGTAACTTCGGAAATTCAGAAATTAAAAAAATTCGTCAATTCGAGCTTCGGACATTCGTAAGCGTCCGAATTGCACAAAATTAGTCTTAATGTACATTCGGAACAAAGCAAATTGCACATGTCTAGTTTGTACTTTATCTTCATTGGCCTCGGCTTCTCCCTGACTATTCTCTGTCCTTGTTAATGTTAGCCCGGCCATTCTAAGGATTCTAAGGTTTGTTTTCCTGTTTGTACACTGCGTATTGAATCTCTGACATTACTGACAAGGTGTAACTAGCCTCTGGCATACAATATTTGTATGTGCAGCGTCTAAAGCAGAAACGCTGCACACAGCTAATCCTGCCACTCCTAAATACATAAGTGGTCATGATGGTTGGAGTAACCCTTTAATTAATGTATTCTCTTAGCTTGTATGCAATTTAAACCAAACATTATCACTTGTATTGTATACCCCTTCCTTAACACAAATCGTTTATTCAGATTTAATATAAATCAACATTTCCTGTTAATCTGTCTCTCTGTGCAATGTGCACATCTAATTAAATTAACTGCTCAATCACAAGGCTCACCATTGTAAGATTTGGTAACGCATGTGTACTATTTTTCACTTGCTAAGAAATAGTTTTTTATTTTGTATATCAAATATCTTGCATTTGAGACAAGTTGTCATCTATATTTGACATTTGAAAATGCATTAAAACCATTCATGTAGTCTAATTTGATAAATCCTTATTTATGAAATTGGTACACTGCTCGTTTAATCGTTATTTCATTTTCAACGCAATTAATAAATATGTCAGTGTGAATTGATTAAACCACTATATCTATATGTTCATACAAACACTTTGGAACTTGTTTTATTATCACCTCTGGTATGTTAAATGTTGCAGCAACTACATTATATGAAAATACTAAATTTCTGTATCAATGCCAGAGGTTAAAATGGACATGTTATTACTTAACAATGTTTTTGGGATAATTTACATTTAATCTTCTCTTGAGAACCGTTGCCATGGATTACAGTGCCAATTATATTCTCTCTCGTCCTCCCTCTGCCTTCTCCATAACACTAGTCATCTGTTACTAAGAAAAGAATTCTTCAGCTTTTTAATTCACTGTGAATAATCTCTATGAACAGGTTAGGTATATTTTCTACCACCAAACCTTGTATATAAATTTGTTTCCCAATGTTGACATGCAAGTCCTATTTTCATTTTAAATGAAGATATATATCCAGAATAAACTTAAAGTCAGTATAAAACATATGAAGAAAATTAGCATGCTTGCCAACTAGTAAAATTAAAATAAAATTAATGCCAGGATTAAAATTGAGCTAAAGTAGTAGCACTTACAAAGATTTTTTAAAGATATATTTATGCAGTAAAGGTAGATTTTATGTGTTTTTAGTTTAGTTAATTTGTTAAACATGGTAATTATTTGAAATATATTAAGGGAACACTCCAAACATCAAAAATACTAAATTCCACTCTAGTGGTTATGGCGACTTGGTGCTCTCACAGAGTAATTAGTCAAACTGTTTAAGAATGGTTTGGATACTTACCTAGGTCCCTTGAACACTCATGCTACCATCAGCTACTCCTGAAGGAATAGTCGGATGTCTCTCTGAGCTAAGCACTGCTCGACACAGGGCCATGCTCACTTGTTGAAAATTAGAAATCAGGGCTTCTTCCACAGCTGCCTTACAGGAGCCACATAATTTGTAAAACTGTTTTTTTAATAGTTTGACTACTTACTCTGGGAATGTAATGGTGTAGTGTTATAAAGTAGTAGTTGAGGCGCTTGTCATGCTATTTTAGATGGTGTGTATCATGGCTAGAGATGTCGCGAATTTTCCGCGAAGGGTTCGCGAACGGTTCGCCACGGTTCGCGGCGAACCGTTCGCGGCGGACTCCAGTCAGCTGACACATCCCGGCCAATATGCAGCAGACCCTCCCTCCCAGACCCTCCCACCTCCTGGACAGCATCCATATTGAAGCTGCCTTGCAGCAGACCCTCCCTCCCAGACCCTCCCACCTCCTGGACAGCATCCATATTGAAGCTGCCTTCAATATGGATGCTGTCCAGGAGGTGGGAGGGTCTGGGAGGGAGGGTCTGCTGCATATTGGCCGGGATGTGTCAGCCGACTGGAGTCCGCCGCGAACGGTTCGCGGAAAATTTGCGACATCTCTAATCATGGCATTTGTTTTTTTATTTAAGTGTATTTGTATATCTGTTTTGTTCTTTGCAGTTTTAAATATTCTGTCTACATGCTGTTAAATGTAATACAAAATGAAAAGGCATTGCAATAGTGGTTGCTATGTACAATGTTATGACTTTGCTATGCAAATATCCTAAGAAAGCTCAGCATACACATTTTGACTTTTCATTACAAATATTTGCTCAGAAATTTTTTGTACATATAAAAGATTTCTGTAGAAAGTCAGTAGAAAATGCAAAGGTACGCTGTAAGTGTTCACATGTAAAACTAGACAGCTAACACTGACACCTGTCAAGCTGATTAGTGTGTGTTGTATTCCCTGAAATCCTCAGGAGGCTCAAATATTTCACAAATGATAAATGTAATTTAACAGTATAAACCATTTTTTTTTTAAATAGAGGCATATCCTTTCTCTGTAACCTTTATATTTAATATATTTTTTTTATTGTGAAAAAACAAATATCAATTTCAAATATTTTTTAGAGTAACCATATCAGGAAATACAGTAAGGTTCATTGAAGTGCCACTAACACATTACACATAACCTTCTCCTTGTTTTAGATTTTCCTTTTATATGTTATTTGAGAAAACTCGATTTACTACTGAAACATTATTATTTTTTCCTGTCAGACCTGTATTTGCTTGAAATAAAACAGACAAAAAGTTTCCCCACAGATTTATCAAGAGGCAAAATGCTGACTGAGGGTCACCATGGAAACCAGTAGATCTCCCACATGGCTAGAACTCTGTCTTGATCTCTGCGCCAAAAGTTAATGAAACTGGGCGTGTCTTACCTGTGAGAATAGATTGCTGGTCAGTTCATGGTGTGCACTAACAATGCCATGGCAACAACTCCATGTATATGCATTTTTGTCAACATGTTCAGTGCTATTTCCAAATAAATTGTGTTCTATAAGAAAAGCAAAAGTGAGTTTTAATCCTTTATAGACCGATAACAGTATACTATATTCATAAAAACAACCTTTGAAAATCCTAGATCAAAATTAAATGCCCTAGTCATTTAGATTTAGCAGGTCTAATACTGGACATTCCATACTAACATATTATCTTCAGGTATGAGACAGTGATAACATTAAATATCACTTTAGTGTTAAGTATACAAATATGTATTCCTAACACTAACGTGTTACTCTGCCCCTGTGCCCCCGCATATTAAAGGGTTAAATAACTCTATCCACTTACCCGATTCCAGCACTGATGCCTCTCGGTACTTCACCTACTCTGACGTCAGCTGATGTGGGGATCATTATCTTTTGTCCCTATTTATTTAACATAGGACAATATTCTTTTAACAAGAAAAGGTACATAACATATTTTATATGATAGGTGAATGCACATATTGAAAATTGAGCAGTTGACTGTAAATCTGTGTGTGATGCTTAGAGAATGCGCAGCACATTGTCATGGATGACTTGCAGTTGTGCATGTTCAGGAGATATTGACTGTCTGCATGACTTAATTGTAAACAACTCCTTCTGGATGAATTAGCTGAAAAGCTTCTCTTTAGAAAAGGCTCAGTATTTTTTACCATGTCTGCGAGCCATACTTGTATGTGAAAAGAATGGTTATAAGTGTAGAAAACTCTAGAACTCTTAAGTGAATTATAAGTAAAAACACAAATAAACAGAAAGTGTAGTGCTATGATACAAGGCAATATCTTGCCCTATTGCGCACTTGATTTCCAGGGAGTTTAAAATCCATCATATATATGACATAAAAGAGCATAAAAATAGTGTAGGTTGTACAAAATGAAGTGCAATAGGTAAGAGTACACTCACATGGAGTGGGGCCTACAGATAGCGGCTCAGGCAATATGAAGATGTGCCATTTCAGGTAGCACTCCATCTTCCTTCAAACAGGGTCACTTGCTTCAGAAAGTATATATGGAACACACATAGAGTAGACTGCAAAATAATCTATATAGGGAAAAATTTAAAATCTATCGCTCACCTTATATAAAGCCTTTCACCTTTAGACTTCCAGTCCTCCTTCTGGTGCTTATAAAACCTATTTATTTATATGCTGAAAACAATTTAAATCCCAGACAGCAAGAAACAAAATAGACTTATATGAAACTGCCAAAATGCGTTTTGCCACTTGGGCTTCTTCAGCTAGCAGGGAAAAGGGTCTAAGTTCACAGTTCCTGTATTTGTATGATTGCACCTAAATTAGGTGTGATCATGTGATTTTTGTGATGTTCAATCAGAATAAAGGCAGAGCAAGTGATGTCACCAATGTTGCCTCTGGCACCATCTTGCCGTTTTTTCTGGCACCCAAGATTACCTCTAGCCACATACTCCAAGCACTAAGAGTGTGTATGTGGACGTTCACAACACCCAGAAGTGACATTGTGGTACTTGTGACATGTCACTTTTGGTGTTGTGGACCGATCATTGAATTACATCCCTGAGTCCTCAGACTGGCTCAACATCTCTTGCGGTATTAAAACTGACATGTTAGATTATTTAAGGACTTTTACTCCAACCTATTAAAAAAAAAAGGCGAAATGTGAAGGGATAAAACCGAACAATATATAGAATATACTGAGTAAAAACCCAATAAAATATATATCTGAGTAAAAATCTGAATAAAAATATTACACTTCAAGGGGAAGTATGTATAGAGAAAGGGAAATTTTATGTGGACAAAAAAAAACATGGAGAAAAGGGGGAAAATGTATGATAAAAAAGAAAATATATGCACAAAACAAATATTATAGGAAAGGGAAATGTGTATGTTAAAAAGGAATGTATTGACTTTCCTGAAATGGTGTTGAAGCATGAGAAAAAAAAAAGACCTAATATATAAACATAATGCAAATAAAAGAATTACAATTATAGGTAAACATATAATAACTTGGAATACAACAACTTAAGATATTACAAATACTAAAATATATAAGGTATGTAATCAAAATATTTTTTATACCCAAATGTAAAATTTGTAAAAGTATATATACACTGAAGACTGTATAGCTAAAAAAAACCAAAACAATATAAATAACTCATGCATATCAAGGGAACGTCTTCATTACACTCTTTTTCTTTTTATCTTTGTAACTTAACAATGTTTCCCTTGGTACATCTGAAACCTTTTTAATAGCATGCACAATAAAATCTTCATCATATCCCTTTTCTATAAAATCTTGTTTCAATTTAGTTGCTTGTTTGACAAAAACATTCACATCCATACAGTTTCTTTTTAACCTCAAGAATTGGGATCTTGGTATAACTATTTACATCCAGTTTTTTATTATAAGTACTTTATCTTCTCTTCTTCTATAAAAATATTGAGGTATAAAAAAATTGACAAAAGATTTACTATAACTTACTGTTAATGCTATATCTCATTTATTGTTAAAATAATCTAAAAATCTTTTCAGCTGTTGCTCAGGGCCCTTCCAGATAAAAGCAGATTGTCTATGTAACAGCAATAGGTGACTAGAATTGTTACCCAGTCATGTACCTAGTAGACATATCTAGTCCCCATGGATGTTCCACAGACTTGCAAATTTAAATGTCCATTAAACCAAAAATAATTATTATTTCAAATTAGCTGAATACCTTCTAAAATGTAATTTTTTTTTTTTAATTTGACAATTTTTATTGTTTTGTCAATTAGCAAGAACTTGGGGGTACAGAAAGAAGAGGTGGGGGGAGGTTAGCAAGTAAGTTACAAGCAATTCAGAATCACTTCTGTTGTTTACATTTCCATTGCATTTTATACACACATTTGTAGTACAGTTTATGCACACGTTTGTAGTGCCAAATCTTATTGCTTTGCGTTTCACATAAGGTATTGATGAACTTCATAATACAGTAATCAGTAACCTGTTCTTTATTGTCTTAGAGTCTTTTGGTTTAAATGCGATTTGCTGTGATATGTTGCGTGTTTTAGAGAGGCATTCAGTTTCTGCTCCTTTGACTGCTCAGTTGTGGTTTACCTTCAGTGTCTAGCTGGGTCTTGTTCCCTCCTGTTTTGTAATTTTTGGGAGTTTGGTACTTTTGGGGTTTTGGGGCCTGGGATGAGAGGTTGTCCCAATGTTTTCGGTCATTTGGTTCTATCTCTAGGTGGCAGTGCCAGTTTTCCGCATATAGTTGTGGGGTAGTGTATGTTTTAGTTAAACCGTTGGCATTTTCTTTTTGTAATTTTCCCACTTTTCCCAGGCTATTTCCCAGTATTGTCTGTGCTTTCTGTGGTTCTTGTTGGGGGGCGTATTTTGTCGCCTCATAGTGATCTCGAAATGGAAGGATTGGTTTATGTGTTGCATACACATTGATAAGGTGGGTATTGTGTGTGTGGACCAATTCTGTGCTAATGCGCCTAGGGCCACTATGTTGATTTGGAATATAAGGTATCTGTCCGGTTTGGAGACCGATCCCGGTATATCAAATAGAACATAATGTTCCAATCTATGGGGTAGGGTGTTCCCTGTACTGTCTGTAATGAGTTTGGCTATGTCTTTCCAATACTGTTCTAGGAGCGGACAAGTCCACCATATATGTGTCATTGTTCCTATACCTGTTTTGCATCTCCAGCACTGTGCAGAGATAGGTGGGCTATATTTGAGTAGTCTCACTGGCATTAAATACCACCTGTAAAGGAGTTTTTTGGCTATCTCTATGTGTCTTGAGCAGAGGGAGAAGGCTTTGAGGGTTAAAATCATACGTTCCCATTCTGGTTCATTAAATGTTTTATGGAGCTCTTTTTCCCATGCTTTGATAAATTTGTGTTCCTTCAATGTGTGTTTTGAGGTCAATGTTGCGTATATGGAGGATAGGGTTTTCAAAGGTGGTTTAGTCCCCATGTACATTTTTTCAAACTCCGTCAGCTGTTGTCCCGGGATGTTGCCGTTTTTCTCCTGATTCTGTGTGCGTAACCATGAGTTTAG